CAAAAATAGTTGTTTGATTATGATGATTGACTCCTACAAAAGGTGCAAGATAGAATCCATACTTGTCTGTATTGAACGTTGTGTCAAACACAACGACCTCGCCAAAGAATGCATAGTAGTTCCTGCTATCACTATCTTCCCAAAAGCAACAATTAAGAACTTTTTCCTCGTTCGTTTCATATGCATAAAAAAATTTACCTTCCCGTTGTTTTCTGTTTGAAATCCGTGAATCATTGTTTGTACATCAATTCCATTAATTCTAGCATTTAGCGACGCCTTGTAGTTATCTATATCCATCTTTGTACAACCCATTGAAGAGGGACCTCCAACCTCATTCTCAAGTAAACTAATTTGAGTGTGGGTCTCAACATTGGCATCACCCCATTGATTCATCAGTATTCTTTTGGAATTAGTCACATTTCGGGGAGAACGTAATAAATGTGTCTTACTAGGACTGACTAACTAGTGATTATGAGCCTTCTCGAGTTGTGTTACATAATACCCCCTCCCTTTAGAGTCCTTGGAAATATGCATTCTAGCCATGCATCCACATCGGATCTCACCCCGGTTTGTTTCACCAACTTTATCACTTCCGTTCTTGATCTTTTCTCTATAATATGTATTTGTCTTTCCTTGCTTGTGACACGCAAACACTTTCCATGTGATAACATTGTTCTTATTGGTGCCAGTGTTGCTTACTTTCGTCCCAAACCCCACCAATTTCGCATACGCATTGTAGAAGGATTTTGCAGCTTCAATAGAGTCAAATTTTTGCTCAAATGTCGGTGTTTTATCCACCTCCACTGCATTGTACATACAAATATTAAGCTATAAGATTTTAACATTTACAAAAACCATTAAACTCATAACAGGAATAAACATGTTCTAGAGTTCTAGCTTGTGAAGTTTAACAGAGTTTTGAATTTCACACAAATAATACAACATGCTTATTGCAGTGATATAATTCATTCTAATTTGAAAGTTGTTTTTGAATATTTTATAACTAAAATCTTAAACAGGAGGAACTGTAGCTAAATTGGGAAGCATTCGAGTTAACCTCAAATCCTCATTTCATTAACGTTGAATGTTTAAATGCTATGCGACAAATAATAACTCAAGTTTTAATTGATGGGAAATTTATCAATTAAAATTTCTAACCAAAAAGCAATTGTGAATTTATACCCTCATCGTAGTGAAGAACCTGTGTCTGAGCTTCAATTCCATTGATTGCTGTATCTAGGCTAGAATTTATTGGAGCTTCATCTCCTCCAACACTTGTTGTTCTATTATCTCCATCTGATGGATAGCGTACCCGGGGGTAGCTTATTCGAGGGGTTATTCGAGAAATAACCTAGAGAGAATGTAATGCCCCGAAATTTTGAGAAAATTTGAGAAGTAATTAAAATCGTGTTTCGTATCGTTTAGATGGTCTTTAGATAGTGTATGATGGTTGATTTAGTACAGTGTTTCGGACCAAGGGGAGGTCCAAACGGGGAAGAAACAGAGCAAAAACTAAAGTTTCAGACATCTGGGGGTCACGCACGGCGTGCATGGGGTGATGAACGGTGTGCATGGCATGAAATTTGAGCGTAATAGCTACTGTCAGCCATGCACGGTCGTGCGTGGAGGCACGCACGGTCGTGCGTCCCTGATTTGTCCTAGTTCGACCAAACTTCAGAAATTCACTATAAATACATCCCTAATCCGATTTTCCTCATTCCGAAAACCCTAGAACCGCCTCTTAAAGATCTATATCTCTCATACCTTTAATATTAACATATCCAACATGATTTTTGAGTCCAAGGACGAGATCAAACAATCCAATCTTCCGCTAAGCATTTTTGTTGCCTAATTCGCATCGTTCATCCGTTTTCTTGATTTCTTTCTCCTAAATTATGATCCTTCAACCCTATAACTCCCTAAGGACATGTGAGTGACTCTTCAATCTAGGTTTGACGTTTAGGATTCGTTGCTATCCTCGAGGTAAGGACTATTGCAACCAAAACTACTCTTTTGCCCCTATTATGTATTAATTAGGGTTTGCGATATGATTTGAGAATTTCTATGAAATTTTGTGTGTGATTCGGATATGATAGACTTGTTTGAGTATGATATGATTTTCTGGGAATTTTGGAACGTGTGAATTTTGAGTAATTAATTTTTTTAATTACTATAGTCGAAATGGTGAATTGTGTGAAATTGCCATTTTGACTAGGGAAATTGTGGAGATTGTTTTTAGACAAATTATATATTTTTAAATGTATAATTTGATATGAATATTTACATATATATTATGGAGTTAGAACTATCCTTATTGGATTATTTTGAACATGAGATTAAATATTATTTTGTAACTAGTTTCGGAGGAAACCCTAATTTGAGAACTATGACTTTGTACTTGATATGATATGCATACTATTTTGAGATATGAATATGATTGAGATATTTTGAGAAAGTTTTTGAGAATGAGATCGAATTATTTTGATAAGAACTATGAACAAAGATTTCATAATTGTGAGTGTCCTGCAGAGAAACCCGGGATGCTAGTGAGTTAGGGCTACTACTACTTTGTGTGAATTGTTTGAGACTTGTGAGTGATTCGGTCGGTAGACATCCCGGACACTAGGATGTATTCATCCTTTTCTTTTGAGAGGGTAGTAGTAGTTCCTAATTTGCTTTGTGAGGATTAAATTCTATTTGTGAGTAGTCAGTAGACATCCTGACTATTTAGACTTCTAACTACTCGGAGGGCTTGGAATCTCTTTTAGAGGGTGTGCACACTTAAGGTAGAAGTCTAGCTTCCATTTATTTGTGACCGATGGGATCTGCAATTGCGGGGAGAGACGTGGGGGCTGCGGTGACCCACGTGTTCGCTAGGCTCGAGGAATCTTGAGTTCTGCCCATCTTTTGAGAACTAATTTAAGACTTGTGAACATACTTGATTTTGAGAATCGTGGGATCTGCAATTGTGGGGTGAGTCATGGGGGCTGCGGTGACCCACGTGCTCACTAGGCTTGAGGAATCTTGAGTTCTGCCCACCTCTTGAGATAAATTTTGAGACTTGTAATATAAATGATTTTTTGGAGATGTGTTTCAAAAATAGAAAGTTTTTTAGAGAAGTATTTTTACTACCTTTGTTTAAGAGCTTATAAAATTTATTTGAGCGATGAGGTTATTTTTAGAAAAGTGAATTAGTTGATTTTGAGATCTATCCGAGAATGAGCATGTTTTCGAAGAAATATTTTACTACCCCGAGACTATATAACTTATATTTTAGAACTATGACTATGGGTTGATTATGAATGCTTTTGATTAAGATATGATAGCTTTGGAAATTACTAGTATCTTACTAAAGGGTACCTAATATTTTTGAGATACTGATTTTTGAATTATACTTATGTGTGAAAACTATTTTGACAAATTATATTATTTTACGGGGTTGGGTAGGTCTTACTTAGCTACGGAGTAAAAAGCTAATTTTTGTTTCTTTGTTGTTTTTTTGTTTTTGTTTTTTCTGCACTTTATTTGGTGCAGGTGATGAGGATTATGCATTATGATGAGAGCTGCGCTAGACCACGTAGTTTATCAGTTGTCAATCACTTAGTTAATATTTATTCCAGTTTTGTGAACATGTAGACAATTAAATTGTTTTTGACATTTCAGCACTTAAATACTTGAAATGTATTTTTTTGGATTGTGGTTTAGCCTGTGCATTCGGTTAGGAGATAGCCGAATGTGGCGGTAACACCCATTTAATATTTTGCTTCCGCTGCAATTGAAACCGTTTTGAACCTAAATGTTTTGGGAAATTCATTCCATTCTTGCTATAACTATCATCTACTTTGGGTATAAATTTGGGGGTGTTACAAAGAAGACAAGTAAGAGAGAGAGAGACACATGTATTAAATGAACTCGATGTCTTTTACAAAGAAAATAAGGGATGCTATTTATAGCAGCCATAAATGCGATGAGAGTACACTTGTCAACAATCTAACGGTTGAGGGGTCACCTCAATCGGAGTGGCACCGGCATTCGCATGTGCACCGCATTAAATGCGGTGGGTGGATGTGACATCGCATTAAATGCGGTGGTTGCTTGTCTCCAAAGGGAATCTTCGATGATTGTGTTGTAGCCGAAGGCTACCCTGTAACCGAAGGCTCTGGGCAGCCGAAGGCTCGGTGTAACCGAAGGCTACCCTTATGCCGAGGGCAAGAAGAGACTGAAGGCTCCCGTTTTTCTGCCATTTTCTCCCAGTAGTTTTGTATGCTCAAATCCGATTTTCATGTGAGTTTTGGACCCCTCGGCTATAGGGCCGAAGGCATCCCCCAGGCGCACCGTGGGTTCCTTTGAACTTGGGCCGCGGTGCCCTGGGCCCCTTATGCTTCCAGGATATGGAGTGGGATGGAGGAAAGAACATGCCTGATTAAGATAAGTCGGCCTCCTTGACTCAGATTTTTCCGGAGCCAGGGTGTGAGTTTTGTCTCAAATTGATTAATGAGGTCTTTGCAGTATTTGAGTCTGTTTATTCCCCTGTGCAGGTAGATCCCTAAGTATTTCATTGGCAACTTACCCTTTCTCATGCCAAGCAGGGAGTGGAGTGGATGTTGGCAGCTCTGGGTTGTGGAGTGGTGCCAATAATATAAGAGCTCTTGCTAAAATTTATGGATTGGCCTGATGCATTTTGATAGGAGTCCAGAAACTTCTTTAGCGCATTGATGGAGCTGCAACTACCATTGGTGAAAATGAGTAAGTCATCTGCAAAAGCCAAATGAGTTAGTATAGGAACACCGGCCTCTTCCCACCCAATAGGGTTTAATGGAACCCGTTGAGACCAAATACTTAAGCCCCCTCGAAAACACCTCTGAGGCTATAATAAAAAGGAAAGGGGAAAGAGGATCCCCTTTCTTTACTCCTCTCTTTGGTTTAAAAAAGCCATGGTGACTCCCATTGATGATGATGGAGAGGTATGTGGAATGCAGGTTATTGATGATATAGTAAAACTTTTCTGTTTTACTGTATATATATATATATATATATTTAAATTATTATTAGAGAGCTTTATTAATGATGAAATCAGAAATTACAAGAAGGGAAAAAAGAAAGAAAAACAACAAACAAAGAACAAAGAAGAAAGAAAAGGAAAGAAAGTTAGAAAAACTAGCCCAACCCAAAGTACAATATAAGGTCCCTGCTTAGATAACCCCAATACTTCTTCATGAAATCAAAACTCCATTCGTGTTTGAGACCTAGTCCTCATAAGATGCGATCGCTGATTCTTTTTTCTGTATATCTTGATTTGAGTATTCAAGTTCTCTGTAGGTAGACAATTTTCTCTCGTGACCAACAAAGCTTTATTACATATATTCTCATTTGTATCAGAATCCCATAGATCCTCCGTTGATGAAATAGGAGTTCTCTTCTCACTTTCTGAAGCATGACCAAAAAAATCATCTTCTGAGTGTGTACAAAACTGCTCGCCCAAAAAACCTTCACAATCAAAAGCATCTGTGTACTGGTTACCTGAGAAAATGTCCCTCGAAACCCTGACATCTGGGTGTGCACAGTAGGTAGCTTTTTCTTCATTAGCAGGTTTGTTATTCAGATTGTCTCGGTTATCAAAAGAAGCAACAATTCTTTCGAATTCTTTGATTAAAAATTGAGAAAGTGAGTCTACCCCTTGAGACATAGTGATCTGAAAAAATTCTTTGATGTGTGCTAAGGAAGATTCAACTCCTGGTACGAGCTCGGAGCTATAAACCTCCATGGTATTCAAAGCCAGAGGTTTCTCATAGGATGTGGTATGATTAATATCAACTTGTAACAGAGTTCCCGAGATAGATGATTCATGATAATAAGATTTGTCCATGTCTAAGGTGGTAAAGTCCCCTTCATAGTAAGATTTTTTACTTGATAAATCCTCACGATAAGACTGTGCAACCTCCAGGAGTGATTGTTTCGCTGTGGTAAATTGGACCTGTTTAGCAGCTAATTTCCTGAGTTTGGTAATCGCCTGTGTAAGATCTAGTAATACCAACTCCATTTTTACCCTCCGGTATAAACAAAGAAACATCTCCCGAAAATATCCTAACGAATCCCCCAAAATGATTACTATCAAAAGTGATAGTAATATGTCTGTTAAGAGAAATTTTGGATTCAGATTTACCGGGCAGAAGTTTAGTCAGAAATATGCTCAACCAAGTTGCACTGTCCAGATCCAATTCGATAGTAGAAAATAAACCATGTTTACTTTCTTTAATAAAAATGGAGGAATCTGATGTGTTGAAAGAAAAGTGTTTACTCTCAATTATAAGAGATCCCTGGTATAGATGTTGAGCGTCCAAATTGGTCAGATTCCCTTCCTCAGTAATTCCCAAATGCCTTGCTGATAGAGTAGGACACCTCTTCCATCTTTCATCAGAGCTTTTTTACCTGTGCCGTGCAATCCAGATAGACCCGCTCCTTCATAAACAGACCTGCGTGAGAGCCATCTTCGTCGACCTGCAGAAGAAAACCGCTCAAATCTGCCATAAGAATTATCTGCCATAACTCGCCCGGATTTTGGACGTCCATAGCTTCTCCAGCGGTTGTCATATGCAGTGTAACCTCGCCAAAGTCCCTCGTTCCTATTCTGTCTATTTGAGGTGTGACATTCCCGATCTGCCAACCGCCATGTGCGGTGCTCTTCAAGGCGTCGTTCACCGTTCGATCTGAGTGGCGCCGCCAATCTCCAGCCAGATGGGTTAGCACCTCCATTCTCGAGGCCTCTCCGTCTGGACACTCGCTGGCGTGGCCTGTGTTCACCGTTGTTGTAGCCTCGCCACTGTCGGATGGGCAGATCCTGTCTGACCGACTTAGATATAGCATCTTCCATGGTAGATATTAGCTCAATCTGGCCATCGTTCCCTTTGAAGACCTGCTGAGGTGGGTATTGAAAAATGAGAGATCCAAATCGTATACTAGATTTGGGTCTTACAGCCTTCCCTGCCATCACGCCGGCGGCATCGCCCACTCTGGACCCTATAATATTTATTACTGTATAAATCTCTAGCTCCTATAATTGAGTATATTATATATATATATATATATATATATATATATATATATATATATATATATACTCCCTCCGTCCCAGAATTAACTTCGGTTTTGACTGGGCACGGAGATTAAGAAAGTGGGAAATGTGTGGTGGAGAGTTGTGCAGAAGAGAGAGAAATGTGTAAGAATGGTTTTGAACCACAAATCCTTTGCTAAAAAGGGAAAGAGGAGATAAATTTGGGACGGACCAAAAAGGAAAGAATGAAGATAATTATGGGACGGAGGGAGTATATTTTTAGGTTCAAATGAGAACCATGCTTAACGTGAGAACGTGAGAACTCCACTTTTAAGCATATGTGATGCACTATATCATGTATATGTTGCACATTTTCATGCTGACAAAATATTTAGAAATCTGCCACCACATTTATTTGATACTAGTTTTCAAGCCCGTGCGATGCACGGGCAGTACGTTATTTATATAATTTTAAATGTGATGTTTCAGAATGATATATAATGTGATGCAAAAGCAAAATAAACTCATGAGTTGTTTACTCTCGATTTAATAGACTTAATGACAATAATGACTTAATCATTTATTCATTAATTAATGTTTACTTACGACTTACTTGGAAGCATGCTTTAAGTTGGAGAGTAGCAGTCCTTCCCCATTACGACTTCTATTAACACATTTTTTTCATTCAATTTTTTTTTGAATTGGTTGTAGATAAAAGTTATATTAATAAATGAAGTTTTTCATTGAAAGTATAATCTAATAACCATACTAAATTGATTAATTTACTCGATTCAAACTTTTTATTCAGCATACAAAAATAACAACTTCATATACAAATATCATTGTATCCCTACATACATCTTAACCACAGACGTCTTAAGTCAGACATGACTAAATAGAAAAAAGTAAACGACAACTCTTTAGTTTAATATAGAGCTTATTTGAGAACACTAAAATTGATCGAATCGGCTGATTATGCTGAAAATGATTAAGTTTTGACTGAATGGCATACATAATTATTTTTTAATTTTAACAGTGAGATGCTTCATTTTACTCATTATTTTGACATATTGAAAATGTTTAAAAGTGTAGTTTTTTAAATTTCAAAACTCTTTTCGCAATTGGACAATGATGAGTTGTCTAATTACTCGAATACGGAGTAAAGAAAAGTAGTTTGAGGAGTCCAGGGATTTCAAATGTATTCCACCTTCCATGGTCAATTCAAATGCTAGATCCACTCATGAAGAGCACCATAGCATATTCTGGTGAGTGGGATCAGATTCTTTTGATCTGCATTATTTTAAATTTCCTCCTGTTTTTGTTAATAGTAAATGGTTTAAGTAATAGTATTACCTCATTGTGTTTATTTGTAATGATTAATGAACAAATCAGTATTTTATTAACTGATCATTGTTGTCGTTCGTATTCTCATGAAAAATATCATTAGATTTTTGTGTAAAATAGATGTATCAAAACTCGAAATTTTAAAAAAATATTCTTCTTCATTAATCAGAATCATGCTTAAACAAATTAAGTTGTCTTCCCTTTTGTGATTGATGCATCACAGGGGCGCGTAACACGAACTTTGATTGTCCAGTCGGACTTGAATGTATCAAGTTGACATATTAGAGAATAATTTCTGCAATTTATTTAATTTTCATCAATCGGGTATAATGCATAATATCACGTATTATAAACATATTAATGGTAAAGTATCATACTCCCATAGTTTTTAATAATGTGTAATTAAAATGTTGTATAAACTTATTGTGATGACATTCCTGTTTATGATCTCTAAACAATAGAACTCTTCAAACGAAGGAGAAACGTACTCGAGTAAAACTGAATAGTGAAGCTACCAAAACATAGTTTAGTTTACATTTTTCCTTTTTATAATAGCAAGTGTTCAATTCTATGTAATATTTGTGTTTCTAAAATCCGAATATAGAAACACAAAATATAGCCTACGACCTACGTAGGTTTGTAAAGTTTTGAACTTATGCTTCTAAAATCCCAATATAGATGGAAAATTGAGAGTTCTATATTTATTTAAACACAAGATCCCAATAAAATCTAAATATAGAACTTATTTAAACCCAAAATCGTTTATGATATGGAATCCCAATATATATGATGAGATTGATGACACGGTTTGCCCTCTTTTGGGAGATTTTAAAAAATAAAATAAAAAGTATAAACAGTTATTGAGTAATTGTTATATATGATGACATGGCAGGATTACGTGGCACACCGTATGCTCTTAAAAAGTTTCTCTTTTATATATATATATTGATTAGCACGTTTTGATCAAAATTTAAAAAGTGCAATAGATGAGCCTCATAGTGCACCGAGATGTGTTAAAAGTGCATGGTTCTCACGTTCTCACGTTAAGCATGGTTCTCATTGGAAGCGCTCCCTCTATATATATATATATATATATATATATATATATATATATATATATATATATATATGTATATATATATATATGTATATATATATATATATATATATATTGTATTAATATTACTTGATTAGTTAATTAGTATTCCCACTAATTGTTACATTTTTCATTAAAGTAGTTAATTACTTAATTAGTATTCCCATTAATTGCTACCTTTGTTTCTACTTTAAAAAACTAGTTAATTGTCATTATAGTTAAAGTTACATTATAATAATTTGAATTTATATTTGAACGAAAAAAAGAGTAGTTCAATAATTTTATTAAAGTAGTTTTCACTAAATTAAAGTACTTGAAAAGTTACTATAATTTAATTACTCACATTTTAGTTAAAGTCACACTTGTTAGTTTTAAGTATTTATTAAAAAATTATATTGATTAGTTCGAATTTCAATTTTTATTTTAGAGTCACACTTTAATTCATTACTTAATTAAAGTACTTCACATTTTATTAAAGTAGTTTTCACTAAATTAGTTTGAAGTATTAATTAAAATAGTTTTAATTAGTTGCATTACTTTTGTATTCATTATTATATTTGTTGCAAATTAATATTTGTTACATTTTTAAGATGGAAGGTGGTAGATATTCGGTTGATAGGGTAACCTCGAGCGCAACCGAAGGAATGAGGTTGGGAGGAAGAAATCATGCAAAGGTAAAGAACTTGTCGGCTCTTCATCTCAAAGCCGAGATGATTTTGAAACGGGTTACCAAAGGAGGGATGGAGATGCGATGTCCGAAGAACAACTACAACAAGAATTGGTCTGACATAATAACCGCTTTCTCCAACAAGAACAAATCCCGACGACCATTGACGAAGATGAGCCCGAGGATGACGATGCGGATGAACTTGAACCGGAGACGGGCGATGGTGATGGCAACCACAACGAGGCAGACGAGCCCACCTCATCCCAATCCGGTAAGGAAAAAAAAAGTGAATCTGAACTAATGCAAAATAATTTTGATAAGTGGAAGGACGCACAAACCGGGTTTTGGCAAACTTATGACAAACTTATTTGACTGAAAGAGGTGTGAGATATGTTGTTTTTCCTAAAGATTTGAATATTCGTTGGAACAGTACTTATAAATTACTTAAAGTTGTTCTTAGATATAAAGAACATTTTCCTGCTTTTTTAAAACAACATGATAACTATATTATAAACTCGGCTGAGATCGACACTTGTGAAAAAAATTGTAATGTTTTGATATATATTTTTTAATGCAACTGAAACTTTTAGTCATGTTTATAAACCTACCGCAAACCAATTTATTCGTGAAACTGTTAATCTCGCCGGTGTTTTTAAAGAATTTGAGAATGCCATTTTCGTGAGTTGTTTTTGTGATTTTATGAAGGAAAAGTTTTTAAAATATTATGCACATATTCTGCATATTTATGGTATTGCATTTATTCTCGATCCTCGTTTTAGACTAGCTAATTTGAAAGATTGTTTCAACTTCTATTATCTTGCTTTTTTTTTGGTGAATTTCCAATGTATGACGATAACCCCATAAATCCGAAAACGGAATACAACGAGGTTAGTGCTTTATTTTATGCCTAATTTAATGAGTTCCATTCACAATATGGCAACGCGCCCCCTCCCCCGACACGAACATCTTCATCTAAAGGAAAATCAATTTTTAAATCTGCATTTAGCAATCTTATGAAAAAAAAGTCAAACAACTCAAGCTACTCAACAAAGCGCAATAAATGAGATTACTTTGTATTTAACATATGAAGTTGAATTTGAAGAAAATGATGACTTTGACGTTCTAAACTGGTGGAAGTGGAAAGAAAGAATGTTCCCGATTTTAGCACGGATGGCTAAGCAAGTGCTATCAATGTCGGTTTCAATAGTTGCCGTGGAACAAGAATTTAGTTCGGCCGGCAACGTCCTAACGGCATCTAGAACGAGATAGAACGCAAACTCTCTTGAGACGCTTATATGCTACCACGATTGGTTTAAGGCCACACGTAGAACTCAAGAAATGAGCATCACCCTCTCCCAAGACTTTATGGATGACTCAACAACCGATGGTGGCTCTACCTATGACGGAGATTCCGATTGATTAATATTTTAGAATTTATTATAAAATGTATTTCATGTTTTAATCTTTTCTTCGATTCTCAATTGTAATTTGTAAACTTGTATTTCATATTTCAAATAAATATGCGTTCATTTTTTTTATATGTAGCACTTCTCAAATTAATTAATTGCTTACAAACTTACAACTTACAATTAATTTTTTAAAGGCTGTTTTGGAATTAAAAATAGCTTTACAATATGTAATTTGTTTAAATACACCTATTTTGTAACATTTGTAAATTATAAATCAAACCACTTTTTTAAGTAAAAATAGCTTTACTTAATTCATTAAATTAATTAACTTATTTTACAATATGTATAATTCTCAAATAAAAAATATTTAAAAAAAATTAAAAACATAAAAGCTCCCAAACGGATATAGCCGTTGGGGCTTTGGGTGGGGGCAGGGGGGGTCCCGGTGGTGGGGGTGTGGGGTTCAAAAAATTCTATAAATACATCTATTTTCTAACATTTTTCTACACCTCTTCTCCAACTTTTCTCCATCTTCATCTTCTTTTATTATTCTACATTCCTACTTATATATATACCATTTTAAAGATGGAAAGTAAATCTTCCCTTATGCAAAACACTTTTGATATGTGGAAGGATCCGAAGACCGGGCTGTGGCGGGCAACTTGCAGGTGGTGCAAGAAAGAGTGTAGTTTGGGGCGTTCACACGGATACGGGATGCCCACAAGACATATAAGTTCTGTGACAAAGGCAAAACACCAACCAACGGTGGCGGAAATTCCAATTAATATTTATTAGAAAATGTATTTCATATTGTAATTTTTTTCTCAATTCTCAAATGTAGTTCCTATTTCAAATAAATGCATTTGAACTTTGTTTTTAATAAGAATTTGTATAAACTATAATTAAAAAAAAATTAAACATGACCCGGCCCGGCGGGTGGCCCGACCCGTGACCCGGGTATGGGTGGACTCGGGCCGGTTCAGGCCTGGGCCCAGCCGGGCCTTGGTTCAGAAATGGGAGGCTCGGAACCGGCCCGGGTAACCCCGGGTCCGGGCCGGGCCGGTTCGCCAAATACAAGGCCCGAGCCCGGACCCCCCCCCCCCACCGGGCCTAGGCCCGACCCGGACCCGAGAACCGGGCCGGTTCCGGGCCCGCATAGTGGCGGGCCGGGCCGGTCCCGGGCCGGGCGGCCCGAACCGGGTCCATGCCTACTCACCCCCAAATCACCTCAAATGGCTCAAAATACCCAGCCCAACACAAAAACTTAAAAAAAAAAATCAAAAAAAAAAATTAATTTGGCCCGGACCGGGTCCGAACCGGCCGGGCCGGTTCACCAATCCTAGGGCCCGAGCCCGAACCGCATTCCTACCGGGCCAGGTCGACCCGAACCCCCCCCCCCCCCCCCCCCCCCGGACCGGTTCCCGGGCCGGGCCAGTTCAAACTGTAACCGGGCCTGGCCGGTTCCGGGCCGCCCCGCCCCGCCCGAGTCCACCCCTAGACCCGGGGCCTGACCGGGTCCATGACTGCTTCGTATTTTACTACTCCGTCAGTCTCCGTGACTTCGTATTTTACTTTGTATTTTTCGTTTAACACACCGTAACTTCAAAGTTCAAATTTTGTATATCAAATTTCTCTCCTCAACTTTTATTTTACTGCGTATTTTTTATTATATTTATGAATAATACGACTCCGTATATAACATCACATTGAACACGCCCTCTTTTCTGCAATTAATTTTGTGGTTTGACTTCACAGGTTTATTTTGACAAAATATGTATTTATTAACTTTCCAATTATAAGATATTATTAATAATTTATAATGTACTGTGTACTTTTCATTATTAATAATTTATAATGTACTGTGTACTTTTCATGGGGGTTAAAGAGAACTTTATCACTAATATTATCAAAAAGAGTAGTAACTTGATTTTGGGTAGGGATGGCAATGGGGCAGGTTTGCCGGTTTGGGACGGGGGTACACTCTCCCATCCCCCGATCGATGTCTAAAAAGTTCCCCCTATCCCCGCCCCATCCCCCGTTACTCCCGGACCCGCCCCATCCCCGCCCCACCCCGTTGTCCCCCACGGGTGCCCACGGGTGTCCCCATATAGATTTAATTTATCATATTTGCATATACTTTTAATCTCTTATTATAAATATGTGTAGTGCGATTTCAATGAGAACGATGTTTAACGTGGGAATACTCACATTTAATTCAATGTGATACACAATAATCCAATGTGATACACAATAGAGCCATTCTAGTGCACATTTGGACTTTGCTCAATACAAGCTAATATAAATAATCATGGTGGCACTTTTGAAAAAATCATGCTAGATACGAAAAAGTTCATTGTGCAAGCCCATTGTGTTTCACATTGGTGTAAATGTGGTGTTCGCACGTTCTCACGTTAAGCGTTGTTCTCATTTGATCCTAAATATATATATATATATATATATATATATATATATATATATATATATATATATATATATATATATATATATATATATATATATATATATATATATATATATCGATCTACGCGCACACAATAATATATGATACACACACGCAACACTGAAGTATTGTGTTTGTTAAGAGTTAATACCACCAATTTTAATAATTCTTCATTTTGAAAAAGTTTTGTGAACAGAAGACAATTAAAGTAAAAATATAGGTAAACATATTATCATCATGTACGTTGTTTTAAAATTCTCAACACTTATTATACAATTAATTACATATTATATTACATATAAATGTGTGTGTATTTATTTACTCACTTTTTCACTCTTAAAACATTTATGATAAATATTTTTAATCATTACTAGCTAGCTTATTATTATTCTAGTATAATATGTATTAATTCATTAATCATGATTAAACCGTATACAATTATGTATGTCTATATGTATATGTGTTTGTTTTTTTATTCTAGTATATGCGTTTGTTATATACATACTACATATAATTTAATTTAATATGTGTGTACATTATTTATATATATGTGGATATATATGTTTAAGTATATACGGAGTATTTATAACGGAGGCGGGGCAGAGACGAGGCGGGGCGGGTGTAACAATACCCATCCCCCGCCCCATATTTTAACGGCGTAAAAATATCTCACCCACCCCGCCCCCCGCCCCCCGCCCCGCCCCAAGCCCCACCCCAACCTTCCCCCGTGGGGCGGTTCCCCACGGGTCCCCGCATCCATTGCCATCCTTAATTTTGGGACATCTCAAACAAGAAAATGAAAAATAAATTGCGGGATATAGGAGGTATATTCCTGAGTTTTTTATATTTTTTTGTCTCTAACTATTATTGCATTGCCATACACACTCTTTAGCTTAAGTAAGACTTGGACTTATATAGCAACCTATTATTTCATTAGTAGAATAACAAGAACCCACTTCACTAACATATTGCCTCTAGCAAACATATCTCTTCTTGCATAAGAAAATGCTGCACAGATTAAATCATTTTTGTCATGAGAATTTTGACGCGATTTTCACGATGGGTGATGATGATGAACCTTCACAAAACAATATCTCAATTGTGAGAAAAGTGGCAGGTGAGAGGTAGTTTGAAACTATGCATGCAGCATATTTACATACAAACTACATCCTCAGCATGGTAAAATTTCACATTTGGATGCCTTTTGAGTACATTAATTAATAATATAAAAAACAGCAATCAATGACATTTAGGTATACATTAGGTACAAACTACAAACAAACAGAACTGACCAATTTAAACTTTAAATGTGAGATGTGGGGCAACCAAATTAAGTAAGATGCACCTTGTTTTTTTACACAGTACACCTGCTATGTAATCTGTATCACTATTTTCCAAACAATGTATGGTATGATTGAATAATTTAGTATCACCTATTGGGTGTGTGTGTGTGCACAGCATAATTTAGAGTGACCCCATAATTAATTCCTATTGGAATTTTTATTATTACCTTCACTTCCACTCTGGTCTCTTTTCACGGGCGGGTGGTTCCAATGTGAAACCCGTCTTCACTTTGACCCTCTTCATCATTCTCTTGACTTTGGAACCCATTTGTTGTTCTTCTGACATCTTGTTTTTCCCGATATTGATTTTGGTTTTGGTTAATTATGTGCATCAACATCTCTCCTGCCTTCATATTGAAATCATGAGGATTATCGGGAGTCGTTGAACTAAGTTCAACAACCCTCTTGGACTTGTTTTGGTAAAGAGAATCAAGTATGTGGAAGTAGGGACAAGTTTTGGAATCTCCGGGCCTCCTCTTGTTGCTTTCTTTCACCTTTCGGTAGTACTTGTTTATGTTCTCCCATTTTTCTTTACACCGTTTGGCGTTCCTGTCATACCCAAGCTTCTTCATTTCAGATGATATGTCTTCCCATAAAGGGCCCTTTGACCCATTTTCGTTGTACTGCATGTCAAGCTTTGTCCGGAATCTAATCAATGCTTCGATTTCCGCTTTAGGCCATCTAGCATAAGTCCTCTCGCCGGAGCCATTCTCTTTTTGCTCGTTATTAATATTTATTTCTTCCTCGTCGTTCCCTTCTTGAATTTCCTGATCTTTCTCTAAGGGCGTGATTGAGTTCACAGGGATCGGTTGCTTGGCGATTTTCTGAAGAAATGCTATCAAGGCTGCATCTTTTGCCTCTGAAATGGCTCTCTCCTGTGCTAAGAACTCTTGTTCTCTCTTCATTCTCTCGGTCTCTTCTCTCTTCCATGCTTCTTCTCTCGCCATGCGGTCCCTCTCACATCTCTCCAATGCTTCGAGAAACTTCTTCTGCAAATTTTCTTGCTTTTCTAGCACTTCTGTCATCAGCTTCTCGAAGAAACCGGCCATTTGTCTCTTCCTCGAAACACAACTTCCAGACTCTTTCCCAGAGGAATAGGTCGTGGACGTGGAGGCTGAAATGACATCAGCGCTGGTGAGGTTGTGTTTTGTTTGGCTGATGAGATGATGATGTGTCCTAAAATCTTGAACAATGTTGGTGTTTGGCCTTACCATTGCCATGGGCGTTGGAGACCCCAATTCTGTTGGGTCCTTAGAATCGTCCGAGTAGGTTTTGTTGGACTGCAGGTTGTCTAGAACCTCTAGTTGATCAAAGAATCTGTAGTTTTTCCCATTCTGGCGACCGGACCTGCCTTCCTTTGTTCTCTTGTGGTACTTGTAAATGTTCTCAAATTTCTCTTTGCACTTCTTGGCACTTCTCTTGTACCCTGACTCCTCCATTTTTCTGATCAAATAATTTACACTTGAGCACATTTCTTCTCAAAAGCTTTAAGATGTTTTTTACCTTGGTAAGATACAACTGCTGCTAAGTACGGAGTACTAATCATTGAATCACCAATTTTTCTCATATTGGTTTTTTGGGGACATAGAGAGTAGGTTTTGACTAATTAACATATCATATAAACTTGTATGCGACCTTTTGACAAATTATACTCAAAAAGGGTTATTTTGACCTGAAGAGACTTTTTGAAAAATAAAGTGGATTATTTGAAAAGATTCCTTATTTGGGACAGAGAGAGCATCACTGGGAGTATAAAATTTGGTCAGGTGTGAGATTACTTTTGGGTTCATAAAACTACATAACAAACTGTTTGACCACTGCAAAAAAACTAAAAGTTGGAAGGTAAAAGCTATTAACAAAATATAAAGGATAACTGCAAGATAAAAGCTAATATATTTGAAAAGTTTTAAGAAATAATAAATTACTAAAAGGAGTTATTTAGCTGAGCTCTCCTCTACCACACACACAAACAGTGCCTTATCTAAAGAGGTTTCTCCGTCCAAATCTCAATTACTTATCTCCGTACGTTACTTGATTGTGTCAATTAGTTAAATGTTTGTATTCAGGTCTGAGTGACGTATTTGAACAGATTGTGAACTGAAAACTTCTTGTAGTTTATGCAGTTTAATAAATCATTTAAAAACGCAATCTTTATGGTAAAGAACAGCAGAATTATTAATACTATTTCAGATAAATAATGGTAAAAGCAGATTTATCAATCCTATGAATAGTAAATCAAGAAACAACATTATTGAATGAGAAAGCAGTAACCAGATCACTGAGAACTAAAGATCCCAAAGAAAAACTATTAAATTAGTAATTAATTACGGTTTTTAACTCTGGGGATGTTATATCTTTTTTAATAAACAAAAAAAGGATGTCAAAAAGGGGAAACATCTAGAAAATGAAGGAATCCTACCTTGAAACTTGTTCCCAGAGAGGGGCTTTGAGAGTAGAATCACGAAATGCAAGGTCCATTTCTGAGCGGATCTTGAGCAAAGCCAGCGTTTCTTCATGCGGCCATCTGTTGCCACCTGAGCTCCGGTCTCCGTCTTCTCCGCCGCCTCCGCCCTGCAGCTCAGCCACCGCCTCAGCAGCGGGGGCAGCGATTCCGCCGCTGGGATTGTCCACCAACACTGAACTTTCCAGCATATCTGGTAAAGAGAAGCTTCAAGTTAAAAAGATTAAATCTTTGCTCTCTTTTCCCCCCGATTTTGGGGTGGGAATTATTTATTGGGGTAAAATTTATGGCAGCGAACACTTACTTATTTTGGGTTTGGGTTGGAATTAATAGGCGTTGAATCTTTTTTCCCCTTTTAGATCATACGGAGTAGAAAATGAATTCTTTATGGGAGAGGAGAAGTTTGAAGGGAGAAGGAAGTAGGGGTGGGTGAATTTGAATTTAGTTAGGGCTTTCTTTCTGAGTGAGATTCTTAGGAAGGGGATAAGAAATAAAGGGTTAAAAAAGAATAGTGACCTGTCCAGATTTGGTTGCTTGGAAATGTGAATGGTGGAATTTTGGGTTTGGGTTGACTCTTCTTCACATTATAATTACGTTTTGACGGCTAGTCAAAGTGGTAGGGGGTGGAGTCTAAGAGGAAACAGCTTGGCAAAAAAGTTTTTTGAGTTAAAAAAAGTTTACATATAGCGCATGTGGCCATGTGCCCTCCATGTTAAATAATTACTTGCTATTAATTGAGTTGGTAGAAGTTGTTCCATTACTTCATTCCTTTTAAAAATTGTTTCTCTTTGGTGTACAAAATGTAGTAACAATCAATTAGGCGGTCAAAGTTGTAGGGTGAAAATTAGGTGGTCCCTTGCACCATATAATGTCCACATGAGCATATTAGTTGATCACATGGGTGAAAAATCAAACCCATGAATGGTATACTATGGGAGCAACCTCTCAAAGTGGGAGGGCACTGGTTTAATTTTTATGTTTAACAAGTTACCATGATTAATAACCACATATCATTTGTCGGGTCGGATCACATATGATTTGTTGGGCCGGGTCGGGTCTAATCTGAGGGTGGGAGCTTTGAGCTTTGAGATTCAATCTTTTGGATCAATCAAATAGGCAATACAATTTTTCTAACTTCTTTCCATTTTTGGAATACTTTTATATGCTCTTGGTATTTGATCACATGGGTAAAAATCAAACCCGTGAATGGTAGTATGGGAGCAACGTCTCAAGGTGAGAGGGACACTAATCTAATCTTTATGTTTAATAGAGTTACCGTGATTAATAAACGACATATGTTTTGTCGGGTCGGGTCTAAGAATGACCGCGTGGGAGCTTTGAGCTTTGAGATCCAATCTTTTGGATCAATCAAATAGGCAATATAATTTCTTTTTATCTTTTTTACGTTTTTCAATACTTGTATAACCTCCTCTTGGTATCTGTTAAGTAAGATGATAAGTATGATTAAAGTGATCAGATTCGAAAATGCAAACATTAATATGATGTGAAATTGATATTATACATATCAATTATACATTATAAATATCATGAATAATACATATCATGATAAGTCAGTATTTAATCACAATTGAAATTATGCATATCAATTAAACCTAAAGTCAGATTCGACTTAAATAAGATGATAAGTATGCTGTGAGTCACTCGTGATGTTGAAATTAATATGATGAAATCGAGATGTAATAATATCAAAATAAACATATTTATTAAAGGAGCTACAGCTGTAATGGACAAGTAATAATATGTGAATGATGTTGGGTATTAGTACGATAATTGTGTGCTGTTGCACTTATAAAATTAAAAATCCTTGGTTTATATCTTCAGCAGATCCTCATAAATAATTCGAAAAATTAAAGCTAATTGCGTGAAACTAGATACGTCAATTTTCAACCACAATTATTAAGATTATTATGATCCAAACACAAACCTAATCAAAACATTAAAGAGGTTAGACAATAGTTGGAGTGTAGTCACTGTCACCTTTTATAAATTGGATGATTAGAGGTGGCATCAATTAGTGGGAGAGGAAGATAAGAAGATACCAAGTGTATATGAGTGAGTTCTATTTTGTTCATCCCTTCATGAAGGGTGAACATCACCCCCTCCGTCCAACACATGACACTTGGCAAAACTTTTAAATTTTGCAATTGTAATGCCAAGTGTCATGTGTTGGAGTGAGGGGGTGATGTTCACCCTCCATGAAGGGTGTGAACAAAATAGAACTCTATATGAGTTGTGGGATGAAAAGAAACACATGGTTTAAAAAGTTGAAATGTCTACCCAAGTAGGAATATGTAAAGTTGTGTTGTAAATATTTTGCCTCCCTCTTGCTTTTCAAAGTCTTTTTATATTGGGATGGCATTTGAATTCACATTAATCACGGGTTAATCCACCAAACCCCTCCTGCACAAAGGGTTGTGCACGTTTCCGCTAACATAATTTGCTAATTTCTAATAGCCGATTGGTATACGTGTTCGAAATATGCGTCTTTAGTCAATCATATATACTCGAGAGCAGATTCATCATATATGATCAGAGGCGGAGCTGGAGGGGGTCAGCCTAGGCCATGCCCTACCCCAAATTTAAAACAAAACTCAATTTTTAATGTAAAAAATTCCATGTAAATTTTGTCCAAAAATATTCTTTGTATCGACCTAATATAGCCCATTGTCCTTGCTTCGCCCCTGTATATGATGACTTCTTGTGCGCATCAGACTCTAAATCACCTCACTCAGAAACCTCATAAATCTCTCACCATCCGGTGGGTCGGAGTGTAGGGTGTTAGGGGTGTGCGATTCCACCTTTTGTGACGAAGTTAGTGATTTTTCTTACAAAACAATTACTAATACCGGACCACAAAGGTTAGGTACTGAAATACTGAAGGGTAATGTTTGGTAATTGGTATTGGTTGTGCTTGACATGTCACTAGTAGCAAGCATAAACAAGCATACTCCACCATGTGGCAAACGAGCCAGACAAAAATAAACCGTACTTCCCTCCCAACGTTTATAGCCATCTATGCCATCTTGAGCGACTAGCTATCTTACTACAATTCTACCCATTTAAGCAAATATAATAAATTTTATGTCACAGAATCCTACATTTTTTATTACACTTACAGAAATGCAACTAATAGGATACCATGTAGGATCAAAGTCACCCATCACAAGATAATGGGACTAAAAGCTCCGGGGAAAACAATGTATAGCATAAGGCGCCCCACATCAAACATATACCATGCACTACGTATTTATTATGTGTATTAGTGTATAATATTATTAGTCCGACTTTCCATACACTTTTTTGTACACATCTCATGAGAACGGTTTGTTCACAAACAGTTTACAAGTGTATACAAATATGTGTATACAAACAGTTTTTTTTCAATATATAAGTATGAGGTAAATTAAATCTTACATCTTGAAGAATCTTGTAGCGTGGGTTAGAGCCAATTTGACATGGTAGTAACGATGTTTTTAGTCATACATAAATTTTCTGATTTAAACTACACTACTAAAAAAATGGTCTATAGTGACACTAAATAAGTGTCACAAAAAGTTTTTTTGACACTAGAAAAGTGTCAAAGAAGGTCGGGAATTGTGACACTAAATTTAGTGTCACTGGTAAAGTGTCACTAATTTTTAAACACTAAGGTATCATAAAAAATTATGACAAAACAATATCACTTTATATTTTGACACATTAGTATCAATTAAATTTACGATACATTGGTATCACACATAATATATATTAATTATATATTTGTATATATATATATATTTTTTTTTATTATATATAATTATTTATACACACGAAATATAAGATTACGACTTGAAAAATAAAAATTACAGTGTATGAAAATTAAAAGGCGCTTTATTGAAAATAAAAAGAATTGTCATTTACAATTCAAATGTCATACACATTCCAACATAAACTCAACTAATTCTATAATAAACTAATTTGAGAAATGTGATTCCACCCACTCTTTGGGGCTTGGGCCAACTTTTTTCCCTTAGGCTCTCTCCAATCAATAGCTCTAACTGCAGCACCATGCTTTTCCCTTGGGCTCTCTCCAAATACCTCTTCATCTTCATACCCCTCTGCCATTACTCCTACACTTGGCCCAAATACACATGCATAACAATATTGATTCAAAGCAACAAATATAGGAAAAACTAAACTCGAATAATGCAAGAAGCACTTATCAAGATTATTATGACCCAGAAAACCAAGAAACCACCTCTCTATTTTGTGTGCTCAATTGGGCATTTACACCAAGAAATTGCACATGGGACATCTTATTCAACCTCTTCAGGTATACTACGAATAATAGTACTCCGTAATAATTCTATCAGCCCATGAGTCTGAAAAGATAAACATGTGATACTGCAAAGGTAAACATCAATTTAAAGACGAATCCAACTTTTAAAAATAAATAAACAACAAAAGTATATAAGGTGGGGCTTCTCAATTTCCCTCTCCAAATACATGCAAAAACCTGTGGGGCAATGAGAAAAAAGATTTGATCTTTGAATAAAGAAATCCATGGAGTCATGATTGAAGTGCAGGTATGCAAGCACGATAAAAAAAATAACTTTAAATTAAAAAGACTCAGAGTGCTAGAGATCCAGTCTTTTGGTGTGTACCTGCAATGGGCCTGCTTCCTAGAGATGATATATTTTAGGAGTTGTTTATGAGAGGGGTTTATGAGGTCTAAATATATTTTAGGAGTTGAGAGTGACAATGTTTTCAAGTGATGACATTAAGCTTTGTGATATTACTCAAGGAGAGGGGGGGTGAGCCTAGAGTAGAGGAAGACTCCCTCTGCTCTTATCAACTCATACCAGGGTAGGTAGTGAAAGTAGAAGTGCAGTTCCTATTGATTCATGTTTGACAATCCCTAAAAAGCGTCTGATCAGATTAGTCCCTGCTCAAAATAAGTATTTTTTATAGTCAAATGGGTATATATGATACATAATGAAAATTATTTAGTCAACCAAATAAAATGCATCAAAACCAACACACCAGAGATTATTTTGTAGATCTGCATATGCATTAAAGAAGCCAAATTATAATAATGCCCAAGAGGCTGTGAAATGAGATTAAAACAAAAAATGCCAATACATCAAACACCTCACTGGCATAACTATAACTCACCGATCAATTTATCATAAAATCATAATTCTTCACTGAAGAGAAAACCAATTCGTATCACCAAACTACAAGAAAGTAAAAAATAATAAGACATAATAAAGACACCATGTTTCATTACCTTGTAAGAAAAGGCAAGACCAAATAAGTTGTGATGAAGTGCAAAGAAAATTCATAGTTGCTGGACACATAAGGCCTGAAATATTAGTATTCAATCAGATAATAATAATATGGGATATTAAAGAGGAATAAAATGGGCAAAGTTCTGCAAGCAACAGAGAAAACGAATGGAGAAGTTCATTTGAGTACAGAATAGTGGCAGAGAAAACTGAATTGAGAAGCTAGCATAACTGAATTGAGAAGTTCATACATG